CTCAACTTTCCCCACTATGGCACACACAGTAAATGATAAGGCTGCTTGTCTGGTAGAAAGGGAGTGGGGCACCAGCTGCCACAGCCCCCAGCTAGAGGCCAACAAGGCAGAATTGACCAATATTTCAGCATCCTAAAAGCCATCTGGAATTTCTGACCTAATGAATACAAGGAGGAAGAGGGATTGACAAAAAATAAAGTGAATAACCAGTTAGAAAGAGAAATGAGGAGATTTAGGGAAGTGCAGTATGACAAAGACGAGAGAAGAGTTTCAAGAATAAAGAAGTAGTAGAACTTCTAAAAGTCTAGTATAAGAAATGTTTCAGTCAAATGGTGACAGAAGAAATCTGCTGGGAAGATGTTATATGATACTGGACAGGTAAAAAAGGTTGGAAACAGCAATAGCAAGTAGTGAAGAAAAGGGGAGAGGTCAGTAGTTCAAAGGGGTAGCAACGATGAGGAAAACATTTTCAGTGTAAAGAAGTGTTGCAGAGAGAGTTTAAATAGAAGGGGAAAGAATGAAGATGAAGAAGAAAGAGTAGATAAAATTCATGGTATAAAGTCTCAAAGAGTCTTCAGAATAAAGAGCGCAAAAGAAATAATAGGATAAGAAAAACAGATTTTAAGAAAGAAGAGGGAAGCTAGGGAGATTTAGGTGGGTGGTTTTGATCTTAGTTGTTTAAGAGCATGAAAAGAGAATGAATTGGGCTAATAAATCTTGAGAATGAAGTAAGCATTGCGGACTGCAAATGTAACAGGGTGATGAAGGGATTGCTAAGTAGTATTGCAAGCTCCGTTTATGTCTGCTAGCATATACTTGCATCAAAAACAGGTGGGTTTTGTGAATTCTTCTACTTGTCAGTCTAGGATCAGGAGTTGAAAAATGGGAGGTGGAGATTCCCTGAATTTGAGACCAGCAAGGTGAGTATTTTCATTTTTCTAATGTAACAAATCTATATGTAACAAGTGTATAATGAAATTTCATCATTGGTATTAATATTTTTCAATTTTCATTCTCATTATTAGTATATGAAACTGTTCCCTTTCAAGATGCCATATTCAACTAGTACTGGATCCATGCTAATTCCAATGTTTAAGTCATAGATTCTTATAACTTAAAAGCTGGTCCTGGTGGCGTAGTGGTTAAGTTCACACGCTCCGCTTCGGCGGCCCAGGGTTCTCAGGTTCAGATTCTGGGCATGGACCTATGCACCACTCATCAAGCCATGCTGTGGCTGCGTCCCATATACAAAATAGAGAAAGATGGGCACAGATGTTAGCTCAGGGTCAATTTTCCTTAGCAAAAAGAGGAAGACTGGCAACGGATATTAGCTCATGGCCAATCTTCCTCACCAAAAAAAAAAAAGCTGGTCCTTATTGGTCACCTAGTTCAACTCCACTTAAGAGATCACGTAACTAAGGCCCAAAGAAGTTAAGGAACTTGCCTAAGGTCACAATGATAAGTGGCAGAGGTAAAGAGGTCTCCTGATTTCCACCCCAGTGCTCTTTCCATTAGACCACAAATTCTTCCAGAAAGTACATTTGCCAAAGTAACATATATCACTAGTGATGGCCTTCCACTTAGTGCTGTGGTCTAAAAAGGAGAACCGACAGCATCTCCTGGAATTCTTATCTAAAGTCAGCCTTGCCTTTCTTTAAAACCCATAGAAGCCAGTAAGCAATTTTATCTCAGCAAAAGTCTGCCTTAAGGCTTTTTAAACATTGTTTCCAGGACCCTGGGTTAAGGTAAACCTTGTGAACCAGGAATAGACTTGGGACCTGTTATTTGATTCAAAGTGATATCAGGTGGAATCAGACCTCTGCATAAGTGCTAAGAATAAGTCTCAAAAAGCCAAGGAAAACACTCCAGGTTACACTTGGGTCCTCTTAATAGTCCTAAGATTGAGCCTAGTCAAGGAGGATCATTGCAGTGCTGGCTGAATTATGAACAGCCTAAAAAGAGATGGAATCTGCAGGAATTTAAAAATGCCTCCAAGGCAAGGTTTACAGTGAGAAATAGGGAAGAAAGAAGCAACACTGCAGGACAGGTAAGCAAAGAAATCAGGAAGAATTGAGGCCATGACCCCTACACCTGTTTTCAGCAAGGTGGCTCAGTTCTACAGGGACCTCAGGGTCCCCCATTCCCCTCAGAGGCCAGGCATTCACAGCTTCTTTCTAAGCTGTATGGGTTTTTCTGTTTGAAGACAGTAGTTTGCTGGGCAAAGAGACAGACAGAAGTACAGAGATTCAAGTAGGAGAAAAAAAGCCTAAAAGGCTAGAAGGATTTTTTTTAAAGTATCTGTATACAGTTCTTACCATTAACTTGAGGAATGACTCAGTATACCTGTCTTATAGATCTGCAGAGAACGATCTTTGCAGGAAACCTCTGTTACCTGAAGATGAAAAGGAATGTGAACTAACCCTGATCCCAATTCAGACTTTTGCCAACTGACAGCTCAGGTGAATGCCCTCTGGGATCGTCAGAAAGCAAAGAAAAATAGAGCATATAATTGTAGAACAGTTCCCTTTCCCTTGGGATGAAGAAAAAGAAAGAAAAGAGGTACTAAGCCCTGAAACACAATATGGTAAGTGGGAGAAAATATGGCATTAAAAGTAGGAGAACTGAAAATCTTACAGATTTAAATAAATGAGAGTGATCTCAAACCTTGTGAAAGTAGTATTTACTCTGAGTTTCAGAGAAGGTGTGGAATTTTGGCAAGTATTTGACATGATTTCTAAGTTCAAACAATATTATAGTATTTATTAGATATATATTAACATGGATTCAGAAATGACAATGACACAGATGCAAGCATTCATTCAAATAAATATATATATATTTTTTCCTTTTTTCTCCCCAAAGCCCCAGTAGATAGTTGTATGTCATAGTTGCACATCCTTCTAGTTGCTCTATGTGGGACGCCCCCTCAGCATGGTTTGACAAGTGGTGCGTGGGTCTGCGCCGAGGTTCCAAACCAGCGAACCCCGGGCCGCCAAAGTAGAGCGCGTAAACTTAACCACTACGCCACCAGGCCGGCCCCCAAATAAATATTTTTCAAGGCCAACTATAGGTGCCACGTGTTAAGTGCTGGGGATACAATGATGAGCAAAACAGACGCCCTGAGCTCACAGAACTTCTAAAACAATGGAAGAGACAGACATTAATAGAAAAATACAAGTATATACAAAATTGCAAACTGTGATGAGTGCTGTGAAATAAAATACAGGGTGCATTAAAAGTACATAACAGGGGAACTTGGTGATAGGCTGCCAGTGACACCCAGAGAACCTTTCAGAGGAAATAATTTACAAAAAAATAAGAAGTGCTAACATCCCCCTGGCAGGGAGGGAGAATGGGGATCCTCAGAAAAAAAGATATCCATTGTTCTCAGGAGAGTGAAAGGGTTACCCTCACTCTCTTACAAAGTTTTCATCAGGTTCACATACACAAAATGCACCTTGCCCTTGGAGAAAAGTCACCATCATAAAGATAGGTAGAATAAATAGGCAGGAAATTGATGTCTTCTATCTTCAATATAGTGAGGCAACAGGCCCTGAAGGTTGCTTGGTGGCACAGAGCTGTGGTCTGGATGTTTGTCATCCCAACAGACTCTGGCTGTTCAGATGTTTGGCTATAGGCAGATGACATTTTAAAAATCAGAGATAGCCACTTGTGATTTCCAGATTGTATACTGTATACACATATCCAGAGTCAACCTCTGGGGTCAACCTCTCTTTCCACTGTCTCTGCATCAGTTTCTATCACAAGAGGATTTTTGTTTTCATTATTGTCCCGGGCATACAATAAAACCTCACAGCAACATTATTCTGAAAGCTGAAGCTTTACTATATTGTTAATGACAACAGAGCCAAGAACACAGAATTCTTAACCTGTATCACATCAGGCAGTGCATGATAGACTTTAAATAAATACTGAATCACAACACAATATTCAGAGGAACAGATTTTTATCAGAATGACCAGAATGAAACGCCTGAATTTCCACAGGCAGATTGACAAGACAGCTTATGATAATCAGAGATAATGAGCTGTGCTCCTCTGGGCCTCTCAACTCCCTAGAGTGGGGATGCTTTGAAAGTCTGGTTATTGATGGAGAGACCTGATGGGACTGCGAGGCCCAGCCTCTCTAACCACACATACTTTGACGAGGACTTGGATTCTTTAAAGAAAAGAATGTTATGTGCTGAAATCAAATTGCCACAGGTGATACCAAGGGATCTGAAATACCTGGTTAAGTCCCTTTGCCTGCCTATTCTATTTTTTCAGGTTTAACTTCTAAAACAGAAGAGATTCTGTTCTCAGGGGCAAATGGAATATACAAGAAGTCTGGATGGTAGCCTTGCGCAGCAGCACCCTACAGTGAACCAACTGCTTACTGGATGCCTGAAAACAAGACCATGTAAACATTCCCCTGTTGCCTAGGCCTATAAAATCTGTACTGACAGATGCATGAAGCAGTGTGGGTGGCTGGGCAATGAGGCAACCAATGGGAAGGCACTGGCTTCTCCTTCAGGTGTTAAAAAAGGCAAGAGTTGCATATTCAAGGACCCAACACTAACATAATTTAAAAGTGACTGTTTTCCATTTCCTTGACTCCCATAGCTGCCCTTTTACTACTTTTTCTCTTCAAGACTGACCCCAAAGTTAATTTACATTCAAATTCTCCCATATAAAATGATAGAGAGGTTATTGAGAGTATAGAATTGAATTGCCTGGCCAACACCCATCAAATGACTGCTAAAGTACCAGGGCCAACACTGTTGAATAGCTATGACGGGGAGATAATTAATTTAAAAAACTGCCACTCTCTAGAAGCTGGGTGATTTTACTAATAAGTTTGCTGTAATTCTCTGGGTAGGTAACACCATCAGACCATGGTCACTTGATACTCCTAATAAACATTTGGTATTATTTACAACAATAAGCCCCTGTTGGCAGAAGCAGGTTGAGAAGGGATGGGACGGCACACATAGCACTTACCATCTTCTGTTTCCTGCCACACAATGCCCTCGAGGTTGACGCTTGTCCCAGGTTCACAGGGCCCCAGGCACTCGGGCTCTGTGGCAAGAGCCACATCACATGTGTTGACCCCAACTGATCGGGTACGAACCATGATCTGCTCGCAGGGGGATGAGATGTCATTACTGACCACTGGCACCAAAAGGTGCAGTGGCAGCACCGCTGGTGTAGAGACAGGGGACTCCATCTGTGGGGGAAGAGAAAGTAGTAGCTGAGTTGCAGGGAGAAAATTTAGAGGAAATACCTTCTCTGTATTTAATCTAGTCCTATGCCCCTTCCTGCCAGAGTGTGGAGGGCTGTAAATATAAGACTTTGGTCCTTCTTTTCAAGTTCTAGCTCATGATACCACTACAAACCTAGTGGTTTAGATGAGTGCACCCTGTGTTAGGAGCAGTTCTATTTCTTATTAATGATCTTCCTCATAAATTGTGCTTGGCTGAAAGTGTATTAAAAAATCTTGTCTCATTTAAAAATCTCTATTGAAAGAGAATCAGAGCCAGACTTCAATAGCAACAGGGCACATAGACTGATGAGAAAGAAAAGGCCTAGCTTCTGAGGCATGTTCTACTGCCACCACTATGCTTCCCACCAATCTATCATTCAACAAAGAATACATTAATCAGATATAAAACAGAAGAATACAGGTGGGGATAAAAAGGGGGAGAAATATCCAGATCCTAGGAATGCCACTTCAAGAAAACTGGAGCTTTAATTCATCTTTAGTTAAAAGGAAATCTACTTAAGTTATAGGAGGGCTGGGAGCAACCTGATGGGGGTTTCCAACCCTCAGAAATTATAACAGCAATTGGTTAATAAGAATGGTGTTTTGGAGTGTGAATCTAACATCAAATTTATGTATAAGAAACAGAGGGTGCTGCTACTATCCAGAAGCCAATCCACAGCAGTCTGCAGATGAAGCTGATTACACACACACAGATAGAAACAGTCGAACACAAGGATCAGCAATCTACCACCAAAACTAGAACCTCTCACAAGAATGCAATTACCTAGATTCTAAGAAGAATGCAACACATTTAGAGTTAGAAGAAAAGTTGTAATAAAGAGAGTAATAATCCCTTAACTCTTTAAATCGCAACATTTATCAGTTTGACAAAGTACCAGCTCTGAGTCTATAGTCAACATAGTGTTTTGCATACGCAAAGGCACTCAATACACACACTGACTGATCTTTCCTGAAGATTAAATATGATACAATCAGAAGACCTAGAAAATAAGAGTCAAGGATTGGGACCCTCTTCACCTTGTGAAAGACTTTTTAGTCCAGGTTGAATGTACTCCTTCACCAGACCTACATTCAGAGAGAGCCATACACTGCACCCATAATCCAAGCTGCTGGACAGCTCCGCAAAGAACTCTAGTTCTGGAATAGTTTACTACATGACCACTGCTCTACCTACAATCCACCTCCCTTCTCTTAACACATACATGCATACACACACACACCTTTCTGGCCTCAAGTATTACTCAGAAGCTGAGATGTGGGTATCGCATCCATTCTTTGCAGTTTGGCTTAGAAGTCACTGCTATTTGCGGATCATCACTGTCAGAGTCCACAGAATGCTAAAACACTGATTCTGATTAATTCTGGTCCCTGAAAAGCTGTCAAAACATTATCCTTATCTGCTTTTTTGTCACATACACCCATCCTGTACTTCCCTAACTCCACCTTTTTCATAAAATGAAATTAAAGTGGAAGCCTGTAAAATGAATCCTCCGCATTATGGTAAATGCCAAAAGGCATGTTTGCTCTCTTGAAAATCAGTTATTTATAATTTAATTTGGAAACCTTCTTGGGATGTGCTAGATCCTTGGAAGACCCTTTAAAATTTCCATGCACAGATTTGAAGGTAAAAACAACACAGAAAAAGTAAACTGGACTCCCTGTACTCCTGTGCAGTGTTGGAATCTGGCTCTAATCATTAAGCCCTTTCAGGAATGCTATAAAAAGGTGGCTCTTAACTCTTTGCAAAGGAAGTTTCCTGGAGATTTTACCCTTGAGAGTTACTAGAAAGGGGAAATTAGAGACAAAGTATATGGATCATCTTTACTCTTGGCCTTACTTCTATTCCTCTGTTCTTTGTCTTGGGGAAGAACTGAGACAGAAGTAATTTTGCAGTATGTGCATTTCCTTTGCTTAGAGTCTGTTCCCTTTTCTATACCTTTCTTCTACTAGCAAGGAAATTCCTGCAAGGTCCTCTTGCCTGGACACAGAGATTGGCCTAAACCTTCTAGGTCACTCCTGTGAACTTTCTGATTGCCTTGCTTGAGCATGTCCTGTTGCCAACTTGTTCCATTGCTGAGGCAGCAATCCCAAGCATAGAAGGAGGTAAGTCCCCAGAGAGTCACCTACATATTCTCAGCCATCAAGGACACCTCTTTGCTGGAAGTGGTTTCATTTCCCGCTAGGTTATTCAGTGCTGCTGGGAGGCCACGGAGAAGATAAGCTACTAACATTCTAGATAAAGGAAAGCTCAGAATTCTGTACTGACAGATCCAGAAAACAACATCTAAGATGTAAGTAGGAAAACACCATTGTTGCATTCAAGCAGTCTGCCAAATTAAACCCTGCTACAGAACATCTGAAGAGAAGAATCTTAGCTGAACTGATTACTAAGAATAACAGAACTAATACATATGAGGAGCTGATTAATGTGTGTATACATCAAACTACCCTTACTGATCAGAGTTACTAAGAGTTTAGGATCTCTGTGTGAGGATGATTTTATTTAATTATTTAGTTAATTAAGAGAGACTTTTGGGGGTGGGAAGAAGTGAAGAAATCCACCTATGTGTTTGGAACTATTTAGTTTCCTTCTACTTTGCAACAGAAATCTAAGGAGAAATCACAAAACGGCACAATAATGTTTAATTACAGCTCCAGCTCTGCTAATTACCGTTTGGTCGCATCTATAATCTATATTAAGCCATGATGTATAATAAGCAGCTCTGTGATATTCATCTAACAACCTAGGTGGTTTTATGGGATTTCATATTCTACTATTCATTGGGACAAACATAGCTTCATTTATCACTTCCCAGGAGAGGATAGAAATCAGAAAATGACTCATTTTGCCATCTTTCCCATACACCTAGGATGTAAGAGCAGGGATTGCCAGGAGATAGGTGCCAGCAGGGAAAATAAGGAACAAGAATGTAAAAAGTTAAGATCTACCTCGACAACTATGACAACGATAAAAGCTGGGGCAATTCTCAGTCTCTGAAAGGCTAAGAAGTGCCACCATGGCTCCTGGCGCTCACCGAATGGGGAGGTAAACAACAAAACAAAACCAAACCTGAAAAGAGACTTACAGAGAATTTAAAGATGGAAATCTCTGAAGCTTCCCAACAGTTCATGTCCTTTATCTTTCAATGATACTTCTTTTCAATTCACCTTTAGATATTAGTCTTAATAGCACCTATTAGGGATTTGAGTGCTGACAGGCAGGTGACACAGAGATGAGGACTGGAGAGAATAAAGAAAGGCCAGAGCCATTATTCTCCCAGCAAGAAGTAATTATACACTGACTTCAGATGACTCCCACACAAGAGAGGCAGTGATGGAGGAAAAATTTGAAGGCTGCGACATAATTATTGGGGTAGAAAATGCAGTGAAGAAATATTCGGGACAGACCGTCCCCTCTCCCCTTCACAAATATAAGTCTGGTATCTTCACCTTCACAGTCAAAAGGCAGAAAGGAAGCTGTTTCTACTGATAACTGCAGTAGCTCTAAAAACTCCATTTTATCCAAGAATGAAAGATAATTGGAGATAATGGTTAGATGAGTGTTCAGATTTATTCAGAATTATTGGATACGATTATATAGAAAGTAGAATGTCACCAAATATACTAAATACTATATTAATAAGACATTCTCTTTCTTCAATAATTCCAAAGGTCCTTCAAGATTTTACAGTGACTCAGCATCAGCAATACTAACAGTAAAATAGGTTCCTGATTCACGGACAAACATAGAAGTATGCCCCCTGCCAATGTTTTATATACAACTTGATTTGCTCACAAAGTTTTTACTGTGGGTTATTAAGAAGAGCAGGTATTTTTTTGAAGCCCATTTATCAATTTATGATGTTATTTATTTGTCTCTCAAATTAAAATACAAAAGGAAAAAATCCTCAGTTACTTGAACTGCCTCCTGTTGACTGGGATTTTGAGACAAAATAAGTTTACTGGGGGCCGGCCCAGTGGCAAGCAGTTAAGTGCGCGTGCTCCGCTGCGGCGGCCCTGGGTTCGCTGGTTCGGATCCCGGGCGCGCCGATGCACACAAGCCATCATGCTGTGGCGGCGTCCCACATAAAGTGGAGGAAGATGGGCACGGATGTTAGCCCAAGGCCAGTCTTCCTCAGCAAAACAAGAGGAGGATTGGCAGATGTTAGCTTAGGGCCGATCCTCCTCACAAAAAAATAAATAAATAAGTTTACTGTACTATTTTTTAATAATTAAGGATTATTTTGCTTATTCTGAAATACCAGTGATTCCTTGTTGCAAGCGGCTGGCAGGTAAAAATCATGGAATAACTGAGGATGGAAGGAGAAATCTGAATTCCTGCTTTCCACAAAGCTCTTGTCAGAATGCAACAGAATTTTCCGAGTAAATCTCAAAACAACACAACATTTCACTACTAGTGAAGGAGCAAATCAGCCCCTTTTCAAACACTAAGTAATCTTTGACCCTGCCTCTCCGTTTAAAAAAAAGAAAGAAAAAAGAGGCTGCTGGTCTGCTGAGCTTCCAGATTTCACATAGGCTGCTTTGAAAAAGAATTTGATTATAACTCTGGTTAATTTCCAAGACATCTTGTAGCAGAAGGCAAGAAGGAAAAAGAGAAAAAGACAGTAGCTGGCACCATAACCAGACATCAAACAGTTCTTAGAAGCTACATATTCTATTATTCACAGAAGACTTACTTTAGCACTCAATTTTAACCAATCAGCACCTGGTCAAGGTCAGCAGTGAAGGCCGTTTCAGTGCGTACCAGAAAACGCAAGTGCAGTGAACACAGAATTTGAAGGCTACATACTAGCCATAGAGAGTTCTCCTGCAATGATCCTTATACAGTCTCAGGCTCAGACCCTAAAGAGCTCTTCTAGCGAAGAGAAGATAAAGGATCAAACAATCCTGATACTCAAGCCTGTCTAAATTCTCAGTGTGTG